GGCACAATCAACAAGGTTTGTGACTCACCACTGCTGACTTTCATCTTTGGTGTGTGATGGCACGATGGCAATTAGTTTGCTGGCACATAGTTCCAATTAATTAACTCAGAAAATTTGCTTTCTTTGGAGGCTGCCAGTAACGACAACCTTGGATGCCCAGTGTTTGTGTGACAAGCCAGCACTATCAATCCCAAGGCTGGGCACCGGCAATCGGTCTGTGGGAAGGTGCTACTTTGAAGAATCCCCAGCTGGTTCCCCAGCATTGCCTGGTTCAAAGACCACGTAGCCATGAAAGGTTCGGCTTGAGATCAACAGGAAGAGGCTGCCATTGGAGCCAGCCAAGCTGGTTTCTGTCGCCAAAAAGGACCATGCACTTTAAAGGCAGGTTCCCCATGCTGGTGCTTTTCAGATCTTCGAAATTTCAACCTCCCAGAGGCGATTGACTAAGGCCAGGCTGATACAAAGTTTGTAGCTAGAGCAGGGGTCTGCAACCTTGACAACTTTAAAACTTGTGGACTTCAGTTTCCAGAATTCCTCAGCCAGCCAGCTATGCTGTCTGAGGAATTCTGGGAGCTGAAGTCCACAAGTCTTAAAGTTGTCAAGGTTGCAGACCCCTGAGCTAGAGGACAGGTTAGAATTACCCAGGAAAAAGATGGAGTGCCACCAGGCCCATTTCCAAGATTCTTCTGCCTCCATTGCCAAGGCATCTCTGGTACATTAACCCCAAAGGTCATCTGCTGAGACTGTGCTCACCTTGGGGACCCCATTTGTTTTCCTTTGCCCTGGAAATTCTCCTCTTTGTCATTAATTCTTAATGGTTCTAGAATCCATAAGATCTTCTAGGAAAAGCCACGCTGTTTATTTCATAGTTACTTGTACATGATGCTGGCCCAAACACTGTATATCTTGGCTGTAAACCAGATTGATTCAACAAAGTTCCTCCTAAGATTTTGGGACTGCAACCTCCCAAATCCCCAGTCAACATCATTTTTTTCCATGCCAAGTGCCTGGTGTGCCCTTTGGACCTTGCTGTCATCAGCCCCTCAGATTCTTCTAAGTCCTATTGAGAAGGTTCTCAGGAACATCACCAGAGCACCAAGGCGTCGGTGCCATCTTCCTAGCCAACAAGAGTCACAACCAGGCTCCTCCTTTCTACCCACAAGGGGTGCCAGTGTCATCCTCTTCTGAAAGATGGACATTGTTTTCTGTACAGAAAGCCGGCTCCATGACTGATATCAGGGGCCAAAACTCTGCCGTGATGGGCAGAAGGGATGTTTTGCTCCATTATCGCTGAGTAGGTTGAACAAAGCATTTCATGGAACTCCTTGAAAATGTGGAATGAATCAAGAATTCCCACCTGGTTACATCATTTCAAAAGCTTTCCCATCATTATCTGAATCCACCTGTCAGTAAACTGCAGTGAAGAAGACCTGATGGTTCATCTTCTCCACAAACTATCTGGGTCTCTTCTCAACTTTGACAGGCACCTCATTAGGTGAACATACCTGAGGACTGACAGCAGGAAAACCAGAGAAAGGGAGGGGGAAACCCTGTGGATTTTTCTCCTGCTGGCAGGTATATTTGTTCAATCAGGTAAAGATACTGTAGTCTCCTTCTATATTCATTTGAACACCTGTCCCACTGGTCTCACCCCCCACAGAGCAGCAATCGGTTCTCACCTCCCAAATTAATCAGTTCAAGGAAAGACGCTGTCCTGCCAGCAGCAAAGTTTCCAAATGTTCTGTTTGAATTGCCAAATTCACACCATATAAATAAAAAATTTCCACCCAGGCTTTTGTCTTGCAGGAACGACGTTCTGGAGATGTTCCAAACGAAGGCTGCAGTTTTGAATGTCTGGGCCAGAACTAATCAGTGGCCATGACTTTTAAATAATCAATAAAGTTATATTTCTTTCTGGGGGGGGGGAGGTGGGACGATAAGGGTCTTTCTGCCCAGACTTTAAACAATCCAACTGCCTTTAACAAAGTAATTCATCATTTTTTATTCAGATCGTAAGATTTTAACAGTCTCAGGGATGGTATTAAGAATGAGATTTTAGCAGTTTTGTTGACTATTTTTAGGCTTTATGTTAAATAGAAATGCTGAGCCCTTTAATTCATACTGATCTAGCTACTAAAACAGATCTCTGAGAGGTAGATTTTCATGATAAATCAGACCCCAAGGCAAAGATCTGGGGTGCAGTTCCCAAGTAACCCAAATATTATTGTAATTATTAGGGTGAAACCCATTTCCTTCCTTCCTTCCTTCCTTCCTTCCTTCCTTCCTTCTTTCCTTCCTTCCTTCCTTCTTTATTGTTGTTCTTTGAGGTGATATTAGAGTCTTTGGGGTTCTTACTGCGAGAAATGAACCCAGTTTTCCTTTGGAAATTGCATGTTTTATCATTCTACAATCGAAATATCTTGACAGTCTATAAGTTTCAAGCCACATATAGGACCAGTGCTAGTTCAGCTAATGCAAAAACCATACGTGCACACAAACACACAACTCATGCTTTGCTTCATACTTCTAGTAAGCCTTTCATAAATACCTGTGTAAAATGGTGCCAAATCAAATATGCAACATTTTAAAAAAACACTATTGGAAGAAGATGAAATTTTTGGTGGCTGTTTCACAAATGACAACTAATTTGTGGATTTGTGACAGCAGTGTGGATTCAGCCAGTTCACATGAAATATTCAGAAAGCCCTTTGTATGCCTGTCTCCTTCTCTAATTCCAACAATATCCTACATGAATTAAGTTCAAGAAGGATTGTTCTTGAAGAGATACTGTGCTGTTCCCCATTAATGAATTGACCATGAATTTAACAAGGAAGAGGGTGACTTTGGCTCATTTGCCAGGTATCTCTCCTTCCACTTTTAATTCCTGCACACCTGGGCACCTTTAATCACGCTGTCAGATGGCATCTTTGGGAAAGCAGCTCTGGATGTTAAAATACAAGCCAGAGAGCGAAAAAGAATAGCTTTAAATGACAACAGTAAAGCTTTGGAGGGTCATTTTCTGTGTAGCTGTTTAAATTGGAGGAAGGCAATTCCTGGCTGCAGGCTTAGCTATGGGGCAGAGAGAGGGTGAGAGGGGGGTCCAGCACTGAACATTTAAAATTGTGTAGCTGCCCACCTTAAACAATATTTGAAAGTGGGTGTTGTTTTTAAAAATGAGAGAAAACAAACACTAGAGAACGAAGATCCTTCGCAGCAAAAACACCATTAAGGATCACAGATGCCCATTCAAAGTAGTTGCTGAGCTTTTCTCTCAAGTTAAACATTAATCTGGAATTCTTAGGCTTTGTTTGTTTGTTTTTGGTCAAATGTTAAAACAATTTTTAAATGCTAAAGAACCTGTACTGAACAAAGGTGGCTTGTTTAAACTGATCTTATTATGGGAAGACCTACAGCAGGGGTCTTCAAACTTGGCCCTTTTATGACTTGTGGACTTCAACTCCCAGGAGGAATTCTGAGAGTTGAAGTCCACAAGTCATAAAAGAGCAAAGTTTGAAGACTCCTGACCTATAAGGATGATTTTTGTAAAATCAGTAATTTCTTTAGTTCCTTGTGTGGTTCCCCTGCCATTCCCTCATCCAGTCCTTCTCAGTTGCAAGTTTACCATTCTTTTCTTTCATCAGGAAGGGAGACGACAAGCAAGACATGTGTGGTTGGGGAAGGTTCTCAACTGCCCAGTGGCTTCATCGGGCAGAACTGGTCTCCTGCAATTTGTTCAGTTTTGGGACTTTGGGTCAGCTTTACATTTGCTTAAGAAAAAAAACTGATTTATTTCTTGGGAGACACAAGAGTGGCAATGGTTGCAGCATCTCACAAACACAATGAGCAGTAAGTTTGCCTTAAGGCTACAGAGTCCCAACATTCTGCTTGCAGGCAGAGTTGCTGTGTTGCTTATGTTGTGTAGCTCCTGCACAATATTCAGCATCTTTCCTCAAAATACTTCCTATCAGCAGCTGAACAGTTGTAAAATATTGTTCTTCCTTCATACTTTGAGTTGTCTCTAACCAGCTCAGCAAAGTCACAATTATTTGGGTTGATGCAAGAGAGGAGCTCCATGTCCGAAACAGCTAAAGGTAGCAAGTTTCAAAAATCACTCTTGCTCGGTCCATCTCCTGGCTCCTTGTGGATCTGAATTCAGTATGATGCAAGCATAGAACATGCTGAGAGGTTAAGAATTAAAAACAGAATTTTCTAAGAAGCAGCTTTTAAAAACTTAGTTTCAATTTTCTATTTCTCAAAGACAAAACTGCAACCTTAAGATTTATGTTAGTTGTATTTTTTCTGCCATTGTCTTAATCCTTCGCTGCTTTGTTTTTCTCGGTAGCCTTCAGTTGTCACAGGAAGCGGCTGCCCTGGCAGCTTCAGCTGAGGCTCTGCTCCAACTGACTCTACCTGGGTCCCCGCATCCAAGAGGACGAAGGCTTCTCCCCACCACCACAGGCTACAAGGCAAGACCATGCTGGATGCCTATGGAGATTCTCAGGCAGAACTGAAGAAGCTTCTTGGATAAGAAGCGAAACGTTTTCCAAGAAAAAAACCAAGTCCATTTGCCTTTTGGAAAAGCACCTTTGGGCCAAACTGGACGAGGCGTCTAAAGTTGTTTCTCAGAAGACGGAGCTCTGTCAGGGCTCCAGGCGTTCCTAACAGATTACACCGGATGGCCTATACCAAAATGACACCAAATCTTTTAAGATTCAGCTTTGCACCGGACAGTGAAGGATGCATTACGTTTAGGAGGCAAACCTATTGCCTTGCCAGAGATTATTCAGATGATTTTACAGTCCACACACTACCTGTCTCCATATTCCCCTTCTGGAACAGAATGAGAGAATTAATCTGCCTCATGAAGTAGCTGCGACAGCCGAGATGATAAAAGGCGGCATAAATGAGATCCTGCTAATGCCCCCACATCTCCTCCTCCTCCACCACCACCACCACCACCACCACCACCACGGAGCCACGGGAGACAAGGAAAAGGCAACTATTTTGCAGTGAGGTTGATTTTAATTCTGAAACAAATGAGGGGGTTTGGGCCAAATGAAAGCAATTCTCCAAGGAAAGAAGGTATTCTGTCCTTTTGAACTGAACAACCACCGAGAGTCAGGGGCAGGCCTTGAACGCCTGTCCCATCTGGGATCCTGTCACATCGCCCTCTTGAGACAACAACGGAGCTGAAAGGTTCTTCTTCTCTTCAGCAGGAAGACTGCCCTGGGCTCTGGAGGTTTTCCTAAAGGATCGGGATGCAGGATCAACTAACAGACTGTTCACTTTCCCCATTTTCGACCAGTTTTCTTTTCTTTTCGTCTGTTTTCCTTTTAAAGATGTTATTTCTGTAGAACTGCAATTCTTTGATGCTCTCCCGGATGTCATCCAGGGCTCTAAAAAAATAATTCAGGAAGTCAATATATTTTACCGATAAGGAAACAGTCACACTTTTATATTATTTTATGATGTGGTTAGCAAACTGCCTAGAGTCACTTAGGTGAGATGAGCGGTGTAGAAATTTGATAAATAAATGAGGAATACAAACGCAAGTTTTGCACTCTCAGTAGGGAGAGGAAGTTCTATTGAAATCCATCTTTCTGTGCAATGAATGCCTGAGAATGGAAAGAATTCTGAGGCAGCAAAAATATTCAACACAAATTCAAAGCTCTTCCTATCGTGCTGCTTGCCCTGCATTCATACAGACAAGCAACTACTGAAAAAAATTAAGGCTGGAAAAACTGGCCCGTTTCTACCAATTCCAGCTGTAGGGGGCATGTCTTCTTCGACTTGATTACATCTCAAAGCCTTTTGGTCTGTTTTCCAAGCTGAGCCCTCTGCTCGAATATCTAGGGACCGTGCCACCCGCGGAACTGGGGGGATTATGGGGGCCTGTTTCATTCTCCATGTTATTCCCAGAGATGCAGATCAGGGGGGGCTCAGAGGAGCCCCCAACTCAGATTGCATAGTACTGGAGCAGCTTTTCAAATGGTTCCCTGCCAGCTCATCCTTCCATGGCAGCAGAAGGGCCACGACAACTGCCCTTACCAACTCAGAGCTGCCAGCTGTAAATTCTGGGAAATCAGAAGTCTGAAGAAGGGAATGGGATGGGGGTAACAGGACCCAGCCTTCCCCCAGCCTGTGGAGGTGTTAAACCTGGCGCTCCTGTCAGTTGGGAATTCTGGAAATTGAAACCCCAACATCACTGAAGGCCTTTGCTAAAGGAGGGAACATCCCTAGTTGCAGACTGCGGAGCCCTTCCTCAGCTGCGGAGGATGCCCACAAGGTAACTGTGCCAGCTGCCCTTAAGCTCTTTGCATAAATCATGCTGGGCAGAAGAAGCAGGAATGAAATGCTGAAAGAGTTTAGGAGCAGACAGACACCCCCCCCCCCTGAGAGCTCACCTATGAGAAGCAGACTTCTTGGGAGCAATCTCGTAGTCCTCAGGATACCAGCGCCTGGATGAGAAGAAGGAACAATTGTCTCCCTGCTGAGAAACCCAAAGGAGCTGCCCATGCAGAAGCCACACCAACGGAGGGCCGGCAGATGCTCGGAAGAACCGAGGCCATGAGATTCAAGTGCTGGCAATTCAGCTTTACTGAAAACAGTTTGCGGTCTGTAAACACTTTTTCTAAAAACAGATATTATTTGTCAACCTCCACTCCTAAAAAGGCCACGACAAACAGAAATACAGGTAACCCTTGACTTACAACAGTTCAGTTAGTGACCATGCAAAGTTACAACCGCACCGACTCCATTTTCCACACGTATGGCCGTTGCAGCATGCATCCCCATGGCCACGTGAGCACATGAACGAGAGTTGCAGAGTCCCGGGGGCCACGTGGCCGCCTCTTGCCAGCTCCTAACAAGCCCAGTCCAGGGGGAAGCCGGATTCACTCAACAACCCTGTTATTCACTTAATGACTGTGGTGATTCTCTTAACAAGTATGGTGAGAAAGGTCATAAAGTGGGCAAAATTCACTTAACAACTGTCTTCTTTAGCAACAGAAATATTGGGCTCAGTTGTGGTGATAAGTCAAGGACTATATATACATTTTCAGCAAAGCCAAGTGGAAAGTATGAAGTTCTTAAAATCTCCACCTAATTCTAGGGCAGGAGAACTGTGACATGTTGCCTAAATGCCAGGTATTTTCCTGAAAGGAGTCTCTGCCTCGCTGGGCTACACTCTCCAACCTCTGCTCCCATCAGGCGAGTCTCCCCATTCCACCCTCCCGCCCCCCCCCACCAACTGGATCCCCCGGCTGGGAAGTCTGGTGGGTGCCAGCTTGAAGAAGTCCAGCATTGGGCGCTCATTAACCTGCAGAGTTCCTTCAAGGTGCTGACGTCGATGATCCGGTAATGGAGATGCTTCATGAACTGCGGCATGTGTTTGTCCAGAAACTTCTTATCAGCATGAACAGAGTTTCCTACAGGAGAGGCAAAAGCACCACATCAAACCAGGATGCTCGGCCGGGAGATGGAGAAAAAGGCAAAGGCCAACATTTCATCTCTGTCCATCAGAGCCAAGCCTGGATTTAACAGACTAAAGGTGCATTGAAGCCAAATGTCCATTAAATGGAGGGCTATCCTGAACACCAAAGCAACAAGCTACAGTTAATCCAGTTAACCTTGCTGCCCTCTTTCCCCTCCACAGCTCCCAGCCTGGCCACCCCATTGGCCTGGCTCCCCCCACTCCCCCCACTCCCACCTCCAGCTGCCAGGGCCAGCTCCATGCCACTCTCTTGCAGGGTCCTTCTCCATTAACACTGAAATCCATTAAGCCAACCACTGCGGTGCTTCTCAACTTCTCCAGCTTTAAGTTGTGTGAACTTCAACTCCCAGAATTCCTCCAAGCAGCCTGCTGGCTGGGTATTTCTGGGAGTTGAAGGCCACACATCTTAAAAGCTGCCAAACTTGGGGAATCCCGGTTTAAAAGATTGAAAGAGGCAAAGCTCACTGCTCCAACCTGCAAGAGGGCAGAGCCCTGGTGGAGTCTGTTGCCGGATGAAAGACAGAAACTCGTACTCTGCTTGGCGCAGGGAGATCGTGCTCTCTTTCACTGCCTTGGTAAGACCGGACTGTGAGAAAAGAGAAGTGAAAAGAAAAGTGAAGCTGCTTGTGCATCAAGAGAGTCACTCAGATCCAACCACCACATGCTTCAAGGGACCCATTTCTGAGGGTTGTTGCCCAAGACGGGGACTCGGAGCAGCAAGGCGAGGGCTGACTAGGGTTGGGGGAGGAGTTTTGGAATAAGGACACCTCGAAGATGCCAGAAGGAGTTTAAGAAGGGGTAAGCAGGTGCTATTATTTAAGAGCATCTGAAGGATCTCTAGAGACCCCCACTCCAGGGGAACCAGGGAAAGAAGACTGACTGAGCCCACCACTGAAAAAGCTGCAGACATGGGCAGGACCCTGGCCCAATTGCTGGGGGGAATTATTCCTTGGCAACACAAACGTCAATGGCCTTCCCATACATGAGCTCCATTTTAGTTCCTCTAACAAAGAATGGGAGAATCGGGAAAAAGATTTTAATTCAAATATCAGGTTCCAGCAGGCATGGAATGGGCGACCTCCGAGTCTCCAAGCTTTGGTTTTGCTGGCTGCAGCTTTGATGCCAACATCAGGGCGATTCTGGCTTGCCCACCTCTGTGCTACAAAACCACTGAACCGTTCCCCAAGGAAAAGGATCCCTTCCTTTGGAGGGGCAAAAGGGAACCCTAGGAAGGAGGTGGGATGGTGAAGCTGAGAAGACGAAACTGTTTTTCTTACTTGGGCACAAAATTCTAAGAAACTGGAGGTTTTACCTTCCCGTGATGCTCTTTGCACCAGTCTGACATGCCGTCAAGCAACTCATCGGGCTGGTTAATGATCAGGTTAGGACCCTATCAACGAAGAGAAGACATTTATGAATGAATGAATGAATGAATGAATGAACGAATGGAATGAAAATTTATACGGCCACCCAACTGGAAGCAGCTCCCCCCGGAGATTAGGACCGCTAACACTCTGTTGGTTTTCCGCAAGCTGCTTAAGACCTGGCTTTTCCGGCAGGCCTGGGCTTTATAAAATCTGACCCCTGGATGAATGTTACTGTATTGTTTGTCTTGTTAAGTTATATTGTGTTTTTATTGTTAGCCGCCCGTAGCCGCCCGGAGTCCTGCGGGAGTGGGGCGGTCTATAAATTTTAATAAATAAATAAATAATAATAAATAAACTGACCATTAGTGACTCTGGGCAGCTCACAAGGATAAAATGCCCAATACAAAAATAATAAAACGCAATAACCCCCACGCCTCCCTGGAGACAACAATCCATAAGGCAAAGAAGGTCAGATCAGACCACTGCCATACTGGGACTGCAAGGCCAGAGCTGAAAAATGGGTAGGGACCTCCTGTAATGGACCCCAGTCTCAGGGCATCGGCCACCCCGTACTTGTGGATGTCCCTGACATTCCTGGCTGATTTCAGGGCAAACAGCCTCTGAACCCAAAAGGATTTTCCAACAATTGAGCCAGATTCTTTTTATGTTCAGGTGCAATGTTCACTCTCAGCCATGTCAGCCTCCCTCACATCTAACAAAAAAGAACATGACTCTTTCCCACAGAGAAACCAGGCCAAGCATGCCGATTCTTATTTGAGTTTTTAGGAATCCAGCAGTCAGCAAACAGAAGCTTGTTCCAGAACTTGTGAGGTTCACAGTAGGCCGCTCGTATCCCCACATAAAGTATGGTTCTGTCTCATCATCTCTAGCAGCTTTCTCCACTAGAGAGGAGCAGGTCAGGTCCTGCACTCATCCAACAATCTCATGCTAATTAGAAGAATCCACCTCTTCTAATTTTCTCCCATTTTTTTAATCTACTGCTTATATCTAGAGGTGTGGGCCATCCTTTGCAAAAATAAAAGAGGATATAATCAAACATCTGTTACAAAGAAAAGCAGGAACAGAAGAGAGGGAAAAGAAGAAACTTAAAAACATAGCAGTCAGAAGCCCAGCCACTTTTCACTGAAGGTTTCACAATTCCTTTTGTAAACAATAAATCTGTCTTGTCAAGAGAAGTAACAGGCAGCACCTCATTGAGGGAGCATGCAGATTTATGCTGCAGTGGGATTCACGTTTTCTCAGAAGCCACCGGGAGAGAAAACAGCTGTAAGCCAGCCAGCTGTCCAGTTTGTCGTGCCTTGCCCAGTTGGCAGCAGCCGTTCCCCAGCCTGGAAACATCTGGACATTTCAGGCGGAGAAAGAGGATTTCATCAGCCAGAGGCCTGCAGAGAACTCAGTGCCAAGACATTCCCACCTGAGTCCATCACTCAGGAGAACGTGGAAACCTTTAACTAACCATCAGGATAGCCAGGAGGAGCTGCAACTTACTTCGGCCAGGATGTTCAGCCCTGAATCTGTGATGAGGCAAGCCATCTCCAGGATCTGGTCTTTTTCAATGTCGAGGCCGGTCATCTGAGGGTCCGAGAAGCAAAGCCAGTGGGTGCCCGGCAGCGGAAGATTGTGGGAATTAGGTTTAACCTTCCACTACTGATGGGGGATGGGGGGAGGCTTTCGGAGCGAGGGGGGCTGTCAGGAGAAAGGGGAAGAAGTTCACCCCCACCTGTGCAAGAGGAGAAGGCAACGGGGTGACAATGACTACGGAGAACCTGCAAGGGCCACCAGTGGAGGGGTCCCCACACCTTCTCCCCTTGGTGGGATGATGCTTTTTGCAGCTGGCCTGGGCACCAGGAGGCCGGGGTCTCCTAGCCTTATCAAGCCAGACCCCTTGACCGACTGGCCATGCTCTACCCGCAATGCGGCTCTGAAGTCTCCCCAAACGCCCTGCGGATTCTGGCACCGAAGCCAAAACTCCAACCCCCCCCCCATCAAATGGGGAGCACATGAAGGGGGGGGGGTCCTTCTGGCCCTTCATTTTACAGCATGCAGACCCCAGGAACGCCCCCCGCCCCCCCATTGGCTTCTGCCTGCCTGGTATGAAGGGAGGAAGTTGAGCCACCCCCCGTTCAGCAGAGGGCCAGGGAGGAGACGCACCCTCAGATCCAAGCCCCCCCCCCAACCTGGGGAGGGAGCTGCCGGGTGCCGTTTTAGAAGGGGCCAGCCCCCCGGCCCCCGCCCCATGGGGACCCCCCTGCCTGTCCCCTCTCTGTTCTCCCCCGGGACTTCGGCTCGCCCCGGCCCCTCACCTCCAGGTCCACCCAGACGATCCTCTGGCCCATCAGGGCGGCCGCCTCGGCCATGGCTCGCCTCCCGCCGCGCCCCGGGCCGCCTCCGCAGAGCCGCAGCCAGCCGCGCGCGCTTCCGCCAACGCCACGCATCCCCGCCGAAGTCGCCGGAGACTACGGCTCCCGGCAGGCCGCGCGCCACCGCGCCCCGCTCGACGCCGGCTGCGGCACCGTCGCAATGGCTGCCGGGAGGCGGAGTCCTGAGACGAGCCCCGAGACCAGGCGTCCCCGCCGCGCCTAGCATGCTGGGAAGCGTAGTCCTTTCCCCAAAACCATGGCAGAAGCCTCCGCATTGGCGGTCGGAGGGCCACCCGAGACCCCCAGACCGGGGCTGCCCACCTCCCCGGCTGGGAAAGGAAATCCAGCAGCGCCCCCCCCCCCCACGGGCTGCTCTAGGCGGTCTCTCTGCCAAGAGGGGCTGCTAACCTTTGTCCTGTTGCCGAGCAGAGGGAGCAAAGCGAGCAGAAGAGGGAGGCGGAGGCGCCCGGAAGGACCAGAAGCTGCACTTCCAAGGCCAGAGAGGGGAGCCTCCTGGGTGGGCTTTGCGGAACCGCTTCTGCCTCTGTCCCAGAGGAGGGGGCGCCGTCGCTCCTGAAGGAACCTGCATTCCACCCCCTTCAAGCAGCAGCAAACAGCTGGTGCAGCCCAGCTGCCAAAAGCCCTCAGAGGCCTCCTTTCAAGCAGGCCTACGATTCTCAGCCCCAACATGCTGGGAGACAGCAATCTCAATACGTTCGTTCTTTTGAGTATGAATTGGGAAGGAAAAAATGGCAGTAACTATTTTGAATCTATGTAACCTCGTATAGCTCTATGTAACCCTAACTAGAGAGCATGTATCAGTATGTTAGAATATCTGGCATTTATTGGGTTAAATGCTGGGTTTGTTGATGGGTCAGTGGGAGGCATTGGGAGACTTCCTGGACACAAGCCAGATTGGAATGTCTTTGTCTGAAAGAAGCATGGGCCCCGTTATAAACATGGTATGGAAGAGAGCATCATTCTTTTACCTGTAGGAATGGACAAAAGGTGTATTTCCCAGAAGTAACAGCCACATGAAATGCAAGTAATCTTTCTGATTAAAATATATTTTTGTTATGAAATCATTTCTATTGAGTTATCTATCTGACTTGATTTAAAAGAAGGCGTTTTTAACTCAGAGTCAGAATAGTAACAGAAGATAAAGCGACCTATGACTGAAGAGAAAGAACAAAGGGGGCATTTAATATCCACCCCACACAAGATTTGGACATCCAGAATATACAGCCCCTCTTGGGGGGGAGGAAGCAGATCAATTCTGCCAGATCCTCTCTAGGAATTTAGATTTTAGGGGGAACAGGGAGATTAAGGTATTCAAACCATGCAGGCATTTTCAGACAGGTGCACATAGCTGACTCCATATGAGATGCAAATACATTTGGAAAACTGAAAAGAACCACTAGTTATGATTTTAGACCTTACAAAATTTTGTTTGCACACACAGAACAGTTTTACAAGAAAAGAATTTATTTTTTGCCATTATATACATATACATAAGCCTAAGGAAGGGCATGTTTAATACTCTCAAAGATATTTCTTGGAAAAATGTTAGAAATAAATTTTAGGGGCTTTATAAAATTATGGCATCATCAAAAACATGGTCATTGAAATACTAATAGAAAATAGATTTTATATATGAGCAATGTTGTCAACATTAATATAACAAAAATCAACCCCTTCAGACATGCAGTACAACCAAGGCTTAAAAACTTTCTTCTCAAAACAAAAAGGGAAAAAAGCAAAGCAGCAACAGCAGCAAAAAACACTAGTTATGTTCCTTCGGGAATTCTGTTTGGTAGAAAAATAATAGTGATCTTGAGACTGTAGAAGTGGGAAAGAGATTAGGATGAACCAGGTTACAACTGCTGCTTCTTCTTCCCTAAAAGGATATGGCTCCAAGTGAAACGTATACCAATTGCAAATGCAGGCTGAGTACTAATTTCACTCAAAGCAGCAATTTGAAACACAATCTGTGCCCAGAAACACAAACACTTAATTACCACTCCAATGACTAATGTTAAAGGAAGCACTGGGGATGTACACTGAAGCCAAGTGAAAGCTAGGCCTGCTAGTTTCCTACAATTAAAAGTGCCCCTAGTCTAAAACACTTTTTCCGAAGTGCCACATCAAGATTTTTCAGAATACAAAGAACTACAGTTGCATGCAGTGATGGCATTTCAGACGCAAAATCCAGGAAAGGGATGGGAAGTGTAAACACTGGGGGACTGAAAAGCAAGATTTTACTCTCCAGGTACTGAGTATTTTGAGTTCCTCAGGAACTAGTCATTTTATGATGAAATGTTTACTTATAAGCTTGTAATGGGTGCATATTCTCATCAATACTTACCTCTTTCTCATTTCATTGAATATTGGTTTTCTAATTTTACCTAAATTAGAAATTTCTAATTTTTAAAGTGTTTTACAAAAAAACGTTGATTTTTTTCTACATATGTAGTACGGGGCAGAGGCATGCAATAATTTCCTGAGAAGCAGTAATCACTTAATGATACTGCAGGCTCTCCTTAATATAAAAACCATGAGATCAGATCAACTAAAAAAAAAACTAAGGAGTCTGTTAGTATAAATAACACATCCTTCATTACCGATTATCAAATTCTCTAGCAAATTTGCTCTATTTGTAGATCTCACAAGGCAAAACACTTAATACAACGAATATTCAATAATTTCATTCCCGTAGCAAAACACTGTTACCCAAATTATCAACGGTCACCAAACTTTCTCCTTCCCGGCCCTTTTCTGAGCAACACCAGAACCACCTCAGGGGCTCTTGTATAAAAATACCAACACTGGTTTTAAAATAAAACCAAAGCAGCAGAACTTTTTTCCTTATAAAATAAACACAATGTCTTCTTTTCTTTACCTGTTTAAAAGTGTGGCACTTTTTTCTTCTTCTTTCTTTTGCCTAAACCCTGAGGGGAAGTTAATACAATTCAAAAATTATTTTCTCTCAAAATACACATTGCAGATGATACGTATAAAACTTTTTTTTTTAAAAAGGTAACTTATGGAGTTACCATCTACAAGCTCTTCATAAAGACAAGAAAAGAAGCTTTAAAAAGGGAAAGAACCGTCAAGAAAAAATGTTCATAAAATCCGTTCATAAAATACTTGCTAGTGACGGGAAGGGTGCCATTTGCCATCTTGGAAACGCTGGCTGTCGTAATTCAGCTCCAGCCCCCATAGTTCCTGTCATCGTGGTAATGCTCTTCCCGGTTCCCTCGGAAGGCGTAATTGGAGCCGCAGTCCACAACCCCCCTCTGCTCCTGGCCGTGGTGCCTGTGGCCAGACTGGTACGGGTGGGAAGCCACTCTGCCCTTGCGGGGAGGCTCAGAGCGCCAGTGCGCTGGGGAGGCCGAGGACCGGGGGAAGGAGTAACCCTGCTGGCCTGCAGGCAAAGACTCCGGAAGCGAAGAGCTGTGTCTTCCACCATACGATGGGACCTGCTGCCATGCCAAAGTCATCTGGACAGGGAGGCAAGAGGCTTGGGTCACCAGCAATCTTCAGCAAGAGGGGCAAGGAGGGCCCTGCTGCCAAGAAGAATTCCCATGGCAGGGGTAGCCTCTGCCAAACCCCAGTGTCCACCCCCCTCCTCCTCCCAGCTGAGAATGTTAGGAAGGCTTCTCAGCCCTCAACTGCAGCCGTTGAATGTGCAGAGGTGGAAGTATTCTCCGCCAAGCAACGGAGGGCAGAGGAAAACGTCTCTTCTGTTTTGAGCCTCCCAGAGTTCTAGAGCGGGGGTCTCCAAAATTGGCCACTTTAAGACTTGTGGACTTCAACTCCATGCTGGCTGAGGAATTCTGGGAGTTGAAATCCGCAAGTCTTAAAGTGGCCAAGTTTGCAGAGCCCTGCTCTAGAGGGAACCAACAAGGAGGATGCCTGAGGAAGACAAAGCACTGTGACAAGACAATATGGACCATCAATGCACACATTTCTTTATTTCACTCGCGTATAAATGTGTACAAGACCTTCCACTGGAGCCATTCATAAAATCTTTAGGGTGGGGGCAGTTATCATGCAGGGAAGGAAGTAATCCATAGCATGTGGGGAAAAAGGGCTTAGAAAAACTGGTGGACTAATGAATTGTCAAGTTTGATGTTACTTGAGATAACTGCAGCACAAAATAAACATGGCTGATGTTGCAGGAATTCTGCATGTTAAGAAAAGACCACTGCCCCGAGTGGAAAATACAGGCTCACACCCCATATGTGAACCCTCAAGAGATCTGTGCTCTTCCAAATCGCACTGGGGAAGACCACTCACCATGGCCTTTGTTTGATGGTTGTCTAGAGGTGAGAAGGATCTCTGAACAGCTGACATGTTCTCGCTGTTCCTCTCGAATCTGTTAGGTTGAAACCAGAAATAATTTTAATAAAGTTCACATTCAATTTTTTTTCCAAGCAAGGAACATTTCATATATTTGTAAACTAACCACATATGGCACCTTTTTAAAGAAAATTATAATTAACCAGTTTTATAATAGGCATATTTGTCAAATGCCTCAGAAGGAAACCTAGTAATTATTTCAAATCATGGATCATAATTCAGTATTCTGAAAAGTATTCAGAACATTTGTTTTAATTAGTTTTGAAATATTTTTAAATAACATTCAGCTGTTATTTCTTCTCCATTTTAGTGTGTTCATTTCATGAATTTCATTTTTCACCCTGACTACACTATGCAAATTATGCCAATTTAAAAGCCAGCAGAGAAGCCCTCACCTGTTGCTGTATGCTGCTGCTAGATGCTGTGGACTTGAGGGGTTTCCGTTTGCAAATCCATGGGGGGCACATGGTGAAGTGACCTCTTGAGATGCATGACTGCTCCCTGAAACACATTTTGGGAGACGAACTAAAGCAAGACTCCAGAGGGAGACAAACTGCGAGATGCCAGCAGCCAGAAACCAAGATGGAGCAATTAATTGGCTCTGAGGTATCACACCAGAGTACTACTACAGCACGCAAACAGATTTCCAAAACAAATGCTGCAACCTTCTGAAATACCCAGTAGGTGATAATGCAATCACAATGCAACACTAAAGTCCAAGTTAACTGCAGTCCCATGTCGGCTGAAAAGGAGCCATCCTGAGCTGAAAAAGAACTAAGAACATTCTTTCAAACAAATATATCAGCCCCAATTTGCAAAAGTTAATTTCACATTTTTGTTTAAAGCAGAAGTGAGACTTAAAGTGTATTGACACACTGAAATCAAGACTCCAGAATTCATTTCAGCAATGGGGCAGAATTGAGAATAAATTTATTTAAAGTAGAATGTTTTGTGGTAACAGCAGATTGTATTTCACAACTGAACAACTCAAAATGCATGCAGCATTCAAGGAAACAGAACTATTATTTGTGGCACAATGGTTTTAGGATCTTTATAATATTTAGATGCATCATGTATTTAAATATAAAATTAACTAAAATTTAGAAGATCCCAGCAGATGGTTCTCCAACACTGACAAACTATCCTCTTCTCAAAAGAATTAGTTCATGTTAATACATAGACAATGCGGTGTCACTATTATCATATCTTCTATTTAAAGGTTTGGCAACTGTTTAATTCAGCATGGTTACATACAGCAATTTGGACTAATAATTTACACACTAGAGCTCTAAGGGAAGTAATAAAATCCTTCTACTTTGCCAAGATTATCTAGGCTGCTTGAAACATTTTATGGATACCTGATCGGAACTGAATTTTGAGTGGTCTCCCAAAAAGTTTGATCCCATTAAGCAGACTCATGCCATAGGGAACAGATTCTTCATGTTTGAAATTCACAAATGCAAACTGTTTTGGTTTCCCATCCCTGTCGTTCGGGATCTTTACTTTAATGACTGGGCCTGCCTGCAAACCAAGAAACAAAACAAAACATTAAATAAAAATAGACCATCTCTTTCCTGGCATGTATGTCGCTTAACACGCCCATGTTTCAAATAAATCTTTGAAGAGGGGAAAACCCTCTGCCAATCAAACGGTCGATCAATTGTTATGATGGTTTTGCAAATATTTCCTCAACATTAAATGCTCTTATGTTTAGATTTTAAAAGCATTCTGTCCTGAAAATGAGAAACCAAGTCAACATCTTTCACACTCTCACAAATGGATGGAAAGAAGTTCCAACAGTTAAGTGCCAGACTCAAGTGAGAAGGGAATTATCATCGGAAAAAGTCCCATCAGAATGATGCTGAAGCTAATCTTATGGGCAAAAAGTGCCCAAGTTTCTTCAGGATGTAACCAATGACCATGCACTGAAGAACACACCAACCCAGCATGGGTAACAATACACCCTCAAAAAAAAGCAGCAGAAATCCCCTTTCCTTGTATTCCAAGGGAAATCAAACCTTTAACTCAGGGGTGTCCAGGGCAGGCTGGGGATTTCTGGGAGCTGAAGTCCACAGATATTAAAGTTGTTAAGGCTGGGCACCCCTGATTTCACCGATTTCAAGTTCGGACTTGATTCCCAATTAAAAAAGAGCACTGGTGCATGCAGTCCATCCATTGGGCTTGGCCACTCACAGGACACCTAAGGGGGCTCAGGGGAGGGCGGAGTGGGCACCCTGGGCAGCAGGAAGCCTCTTGAAGCTCTCCGCCTCCTCTTCCTTGGGGCCAGATAGATAAAAGAAAACGGGCAGCAGCCAGATCTGCAGCCTCTCCTTTTTGCCTCAGCTCATCCCAGTCCTGAGTGAGGAAGTCCCAGCCCAAGAACCACGGGGGGGGGTCAGTTTTCCCCCAGAGGTGCCTGGCCTTTCTCCAGACCTTGGGGGGGGAGGGGGGGCTCTCAGTTTGATTATTAAATTTATATGCCACCCAACTCACCGATTAACCAACTCTGGGCAAGAGATACATTTAATCATTTGTATTATTATTAATAATAACCTGGAAGGCGCAGGAAGGCTATCATCCGAGGCGGAGGGGGGGTTCTCCAGAGAAAGAGCCCCCACCCTTCCCCTCGTCCTTGGACGGTTTCTTCCCACGAGGAGCCCTCGCGGCATTTGCCTCCCCCTCCCCACGCAGAGCTGCCCCTCACCCCACCCTGGCTGGAGACCCTCGGCTGGATCCCCGGGAGGCCCTCAGCGGCCTTTGAGACCAAGGGGCAATCCTTAAAGCATTCCCTCCTCCCCCCAGCCTTGGAAACCCGCAGGCCGGCCTCTCTTCCTCAGCCAGGCAGCCAGCCAGCCTGCCTGCCTGCCTACCTCACAGGGGTGTTGGCGGGCGCGGGGGAGGCCTCCGATGAAGCGCCCCCGCGGCCTAGCTCAGCGGCGGGCCGGGAAGGAGAGACCCTCCCCGGCCTCCGCGCTCCGTCCCCTACCTGGTGGAAGAGCTCGAAGACCAGCTCCTCGGTCACGCGGGGGTCGAGGTTGCCCACGAAGAGCGTCCGGTCCGCCTCCGCCGCTCCCATCTCTTCCGCACGACGGCGGCTGCGGGGCGCATGCGCGCTAAGAAGAGCCGAACTTCGCAATCTCTCGCGGGCTCTCGGCTCCCCTCCCGGAACGGTCAACTGCGCAGGCGTAGAAGGTACGTTTTTGGTGGCTGCACAGCTGGAGAGGAACGGCGAGCGATGAGAGTCAAAAGGGTTAGGCGATTTGAATACGTGTCTCCGACCTCTCTGCTAGAGTCCCTGGTGAGTTTGAGAAGGGAGCAAGAAAGGAGGATTTTGCACGAAAGCGGCCCCGCCTGAAAAGCTTTTCCTTTTTAAAAAATTCTGTTGCCTCCTCGCTTTAGCCTCCCCTGAGCAGACTCTATTTTTTTAAAATACTTCCCTAAACCAGTACTTTAATCATTGGCACATAATCAATTCTTAATTACATAAACCAGCGCAGTAGATTGAAGCATCCCTAAAACCGGTTTTTCAAAGCGGTCGCCGGTCGTCCAAAAAAGAACTAAAAAGGCTCCTCGCCTGGACTGCCATCCGCCCGAAGCCGGTCTGGGGAGGAGGGGGAGCCCGAGCGCAACACCTGGGCTGCTGTTCATCGGAAGCGCCGCTCTTCTGCACGGTCCTCGGCAGGCGCTTCCTAAAGCGGCCCGCGCTTGGGTCATTCCAGCCGCAGGAATCCTGGAAAGCCAGCAGGTCGAGGGGCCCGGGACGTGTCTGCCTCTCCCAAAATTTAACCAGAAGGGACCAAATTTAAGCCACGGAGAGAAGCCAGCAAAAACGAGACTGGGCTCAACAAATGGGGTGCCTCTGTTTGTCGGCTGCAGAGAAAAATGTTCCTGATAATTCCCCCCGGTGCCCCTTGCCCACTCTGACCTAAGTTCCCCCTCCTCTTTCCTGGAAGCACGACCCCCCTCCCAATGCTGCCCCCTCTAGCTGCCCAGAGAAGCCACACGCACAAACTCGACACAAGGAAAGGAGATTTATTGATTTATTTAGCGTACGGCATATTACCAATGGACCAGCAATATAAACATTTCACCTATATCAGTAAAACACAATCAAATATAAATGGTAAAAAGATCTGTATTCAAATACCAGTCTATAGCCCATCTAACCATTGAAGCACAGCATCATTTAATTATTTTTTTAAAAAATCACACTGGACCAATATATACCCTCAGTTTACAGTTGATCACAATGTTATTGAACATGCACGTCAAGCAAAGCAGAAACCATCACACACCACAGAGATGCAAAAGGTTACTTTATTACACAGAAAACCATTTTCTATGCATCTTCTAGGAAAGGATCACAGAAGCCATGTGGTGTGTGCTTTCCCTAACTTGTATAACAAAATCCTTACAACGGCTGGGGAAGCTGGAAGTTACATTGACAGCTGCCTTATTTCATGGGCTACATTTCTGGGCAAGAAGGATGCACCGCCCTTTTGAATCCGCTTCGGACGGGGGGCAGTTGATTCTAGTCTCCTCAATCCATTTAATGAAAAAGCCAGCCTGCTTCACTGCCTCTTCTATTACCTCCCTCTCCAGGTAAAGGACAGAGAAACGATGTTGGCCAACCGTATAGTAGTGCCCTTCAAGGGATGAATTAAACAGGAGGTGCCCCCCTGGTTTCAGAAGGGAACTGATGTTCCTGAAGGCCGATCGGTAGGTGGGGATGTCTTTGAAAACTGCATCGAAGCACAGGGTGGAGAGCAGACAATCTGCAGGAGGAAGAACCAGCGGAGCCAAAGGGTTGGGTTGGGTCACATCACATTTCAGGTACTTCTTGACGGTTCTTCGGACCTTCTCTTCCTTCTCTGGCCATTTTTCCCTGGAGGGCAGAAAGATAGGAAGAGTATGACCTGCCTACATCCAAACTGAGGTCAATCTAGAGTTGTCCTTTTAATGGATAGAGATAGGGCAGGCTTCCCAGTTCTGCTGTCCTTCAAAAACAGGAAAGCACTTCTTTCCCTGATTCAAATATCAGTTTGGGACCTGGAAGTTCGAGGGCAGCGTTTCTCAATGGACGGCTTTGGCTAGAGAGACTCTGCTAAGATAGACCCACCAGGAGAAAGAGATTGGAAAGGAGAGGCTCAAAGAAGACATGGACCATTGAGGAAGAAATAACCTTGCAGGTCTTTCTGAAGCACTGCAGAAGAATTGAAACAGAGACCGGGTTTGGAACAACTAATTCTCCATTTCCTATCTGCTCAGAAGAAATTGTGGACTTGTTGCCACTTCGCTTTCATAGCAGAATTGACACAAAAGCCATGTCTCTATCTCAAGAGCAGCTAGCCATGCTTTCTGAAAAAGAGTCTCCCTTGGTTGTTCAATCTGGATTCTTCTGGTCTGCAGAGTTGTTTTCCTGTTAAGCTCCTGATTGCAAAATCTCTCTTGCTGCATTTTCATAAATGAAAAAAACTAGCAAAATTCGAAAGAAAGGCATCTGGTTGCCTTCCCTAGTTCAGTATAAATCAAGAGTTTTGAAAGTGTCAAAGCAAAAGCTACGTTCTTCCTCTACATACCTGTCTCCTTCCAACTCACAGACATATTTCACAATGGGGGTCCAATCAAAGGCTCCTGGCTCCTTCTTCAGCCATCGTTGAACTTCCTCGCGGTTCTGGAGAGCGTAATCGGTGGCTATGATCTCCCGGAATGACTCGCAGGCAGAGAGGAATTGATGGATGGTTGCGCCACTGCCAATGTCGATGAGGGTGTCTCCCTTGATGCCATCTGGAGCCCGTCAACCCAAACACAGTTTTTTTCAAGTTCCACATGCTTTGGGTCCTTCACATGTGCTATGCTACATGCTGGTGCCATTTTCTCCCATCTAAACTGTCCCAGAAACACCAGAAGCCCTTCGAAGAGCATCCTGAAGGCCACCTGATCACCTGGAAACCCCTTTTCATCTTAGCGTTCCCATGAACCTATTTCCAACCCACCCATTTGTCCCTCTCTCAAGAAAAAATAAACTGAAAGAGATTGGGGAAATTTCTTCCTTGGGTTTCATTTCCTGATCAGTCTGCAGAAAGGTTCAAGTAATAGAACATAGAATTAAAGGTCTGGAAGGGATGTTTGTGAACATGTTGGCATCTGACTTTTGTAAGCTACTTCCACTTGGTGGCTGTTTTTACCCAAAGAGGACCTCTAAGTGGTACAACTGATAATCAGCAGAGTTAGGAAAATGAAAGCATGACTTTGTGATCTGCCTCTTGGCTCCTCCTGACCATCTCAGATCAACAAGCTTCCCTCACCTTGAGGTTAAAATTGGGAAAGTCAACACTTACCTATGGTAAATGCCCTGTGGGCCCCTTTCAGGAAAAAGGTTACAAACTGACCCAGTCCACCATCCTCCAACTTAACTTTGTAGTAGTTTTCCAGATGGGCTCTGGGATTAAAATGCTCAGTGTAAAAATCTTTCCCTGTGTAAGACTCTTCCATCATCCCAGAAACACTTTTACCAATTTCTGGTTGTTCCTTTCATGCTCGGATGATTATTACACTTTGGTCTTTGCTGGCTCCACCTCCTGATTTCCCTTACAGACTGGTTTCTCAACAAAGATCATCTTTGCATGTCACAGCGTGAACATGTTGCTCACGTCTTGCCAACAGATTTGAAGCCAAGTCCTGCCCTGCCCTGATCTAATGAAACAAACATATGTCCCCATCCAGGGAGGGAGAAGTGACAGTTAGGAATGGACAAAATGGGATAACACATACCCCCAAACTGAATAGGAAGTCATGAGGCTTGGCAATAGAGGTAGAATAACCAAATATGGATCAATTGCAGAAATTGCAAATGGGCAAAGGACACATAGATTAAAGCAAAGTATAACTTCATAAAAGGTGATGGTTTGTGAAATTTGTAGTTCCCTATTTCTGGTATTCAATGGTATAAAATATGGTGCTTTGCTGTTGTTCAGAGTCTCGGCTCCGTTAGCAGCTGGGATCCTTTTGCTGAAATGCCTCAATGAAAGTGTTGCAAAGGTCCATCACTCCTGTCTGGCTCTGATTGGCTTCCGCAGCAGGCTGACCCCTTTTGGGGACAACAGAACACAGAATCACGGTGGTGGGGTGTGTGGAAGGCACCTGGAGCCTCCCCTTATGCAATCCGATATTCTCTCTTGGAAAAGAGGCATCAGAAGACACACACACACTCACACCCTTCCTCTCCAGGCAAGAACGCAAGGGGGAAAGGAAAGGTCCTCTCACCGGAGGTCAGGAGAAGTACAGTGGAAGAGACTTGGCAGAGAAAAGTGCCTTCAGGGCCACTTGTCCAAACAGCCAGGTCCGCTTCCCTTTTCTGACCACCCTACTTCTGGGGCAGAAAACATCTGTTTTGGGCTTGAAGCTTTTCTCGCATTGCGCCCAGCTGCCCCACTTCTCCTGGGAATCACCCTTTATCCTAGTTCAAGAGGCAGGTTCCCCCTCAAGGGAGCTGAAGGCCACCTCCATGCCTGGCCAACTCTTCCTTGGCACTTGGGACTGGGGAAAGTAATAGCCTTTCTATTTTGGGACCAGATGCCAGTGCAAGGGGCCAGGTTCCCCGGAATGCAGCTTTGCAGAGGGCTGCAGAGTCCCTACAGAATCTCACGGCTGCAGCATCCTGACTTAGTCCCGTGAGAGATCTGGGGGGCTGCAGAGGGAAATACCAGAGGGCATTTGGGGTTGCGAGCCTGGATGCCAGGCCAAAGGAGCCTCAGGGGGAGCTAAAATGAGGAGGTCATAATCCAGGGCCCAAAGTAAAAGAAAGGCATCTCTCAGTTCCCTGGGAATAAATCAAGTTATTTTCATAGCTGGCTGAGGAATTCCAGAAGTCCACCCATCTTTGAGATGCCAAGGAAGCAAAGCAGCTTCTGGAGCCATAAAGATCAGCTGAATCACCCAGCAGGGCCTGGGGCTGCCTGGGGTTCAGAAGAAGTATTTGTGCTCAAGAAGAGCTTGCAATGTTTGCACCAAAGAAACTTCTGCTGCCTCACTCATCCGATGAGGCGCAAAAGCAGCTTGGCAGACACTAGCAGCCAAATGAAGGGAGCTCAGCTAGGCCCCAGCCCAATGTGTCTCCGGTCTCACCAAAGCGCTCACCAACTGGCTGCCTGTTCTGGGAACGAGCGCAGAAAAGTAGCCTGGCCCCTGCCTTGTTCTGCCTCTTTGCCAGCTGCAGTTTCTTGTCCTGACCTGCTCCACAATTTCCGCTTCTGCAGCTTGCAGTGTCCATAAAAAGTGGGAAAGCTGCCTAGTACAAGGGTGCCTGTGGGCAGCCTGAGCCGTGCCAAGGAGCATGGGACCTATCAAGGTGGAGGAGTGGATTGGCTCACAGCCTAAACCAGCACCGGCATGCAGCTGCTTTGGAAAAGAGCACCCTTGTGTTCTGGAAAGAAAACCCCACATGCAGACAAACTCTAGCCGAGTCTGTCCATTGGAAACACAGCTGGCCCAGCCTGACCAAAAAACCAGAGTGCAATATGTTTTTCCCAACCCTGCGAGCGCCAGATATGGGTGGAACACATTTAGAGGTGGGGTATTGGGCAGATGCAAAGTGGATAAGACCAAGAGGGCTGAAGAAGGCTGCCCTCTCACCGCCCAGCAGCCAGCAGTGGCCCCGTGGCTGATCTGTCTCTGGCTCAGCATTGCCTCTCATGGGGGCAGCAGAGAGAGAGGGAAGGGCAGCTCTGACACTTGCGGTGTCCAGAGGCACAAAGAGGGTCACCCATCCATCAGTGTTAGGGGAGCTAAGAAGAAGGTAATGCCATCTCAGAACAGGCAGGACCATGGACAATACAGGACAGCACATACATGGAGAATCCACGTACATAGAAAACAGACAGACACAACACAAGGAAAGCACACAAACCATCACACAAACACATAGGCAAGATGTTACTTTATTACACATAGAGCCATTTCCTAAATAGCTACTAGGAAAGCTGTGGAAAAGATCACAGAAGACACGTGGTCTGTGCTTTCCCTAACTGGTATAATAGATTCATAACAATGGTTGCGGAAGCCTCTGGGTTTTACATCAACAGCTGCCTTATTTCATGAGCTACATTTCTGGGAGAGAAGAATGCACCGCCCCTTCCCATCTGCTATAGAAGGGGGGCAGTTGATCCTGGTCTCTTCAATCCATTTAATAACAAAGCCAGCCTGTCTCACTGCCTTTTCTATCATATCCTTCTCCAAGAAAATGTTAGAGAATCGGTGTTGGCCAACCTTATAGTAGTGCCCTTCAAGGGTGGAATAAAACAGGAGGTGCCCCCCTGGTTTCAGAAGGGAACTGATGTTCCTGAAGGCCGATCGGTAGGTGGGGATGTCTCTGCAAGCCCCATCAAAGCACAAACTGGAGAGCAGACAATCTGCAGGAGGAAGAACCAGTGGAGCCAAAGGGTTGGGTTGGGTCACATCACATTTCAGATACTTCTTGACAGTTCTTCGGACCTTCTCTTCCTTCTCTGGCCATTTTTCCCTGGGGGGCAGAAAGACAGGAAGAGTATGACCTGCCTACATCCAAACTGAGGTCAACCTAGAGTTGTCCTTTTAATGGATAGAGATAGGGCAGGCTTCCCAGGTCTGCTGTCCTTCAAGAAAAGAAAAGCCCTTCTCTGCAAGAATTCCTTGTTGGTTTGATTCAAATATCGCTCTGGACAGGTTGAGGACATGTTCCTCAACCTTGGTAACTCTTAAGATGTGTGGGATTCAGCTCAAAGAATTGTCCAGACAACACAAGTAACACCGGTCTAGGGTTGGGTCCCCACGTGGCTTCCACGGCAGCCACCAGTCTCTTAGCTTGGCACCACTTACCTCAGAGATGGGGACGGGGTATAAATAATTTCAGTGAGCCATGTGTAACTATGACATCATACAAATCTCATGAATTATGTCCCCAATTCAAAGGTCAGTATAGAAATAGGTAATGGCAACCTCTGTGTGATGATGTCTCCTCTCCTCTCTGGCATCTTAGGGTCGCTGTGGAAACGGTCAATGTATATATTCCGTTAATTCACTCCTGAACAAAACATGGATTCTCACTGCTTTTCTCCAGTAGGAACTGACAGAAGAAGAGGCACACTTTTCCTTATCGGGTTAATGGCCAAGAGTAATGGGTGAGTCCACCAGGCAATGGGCCAACATCAAAGCATGGAGGGTTGGATAGGCTGCAAACTTTGACTATTCATCTTTCTGAGTCCAACGCAAGAAGGAACAGAGATGGAAGCTAATGGAGGGCTTTGACTAGAATAGATAGAGGGCTTGCTTAGATAGAGGTCCCACCAAAGAAAGAACTTGGAAAGGGGAGGCCCAAAGAAGACATGGACCATTGAGGAGGAGATGACCCTGCAGTTCCTTCTGAAGCACTGCAGAAAAATTGAAACAGAGACCAAGTCTGGAACAACTGATTCAGTTCTTCCCAACTCTTGTCAAAGCAAAGACTACGTTCTTCCTCTACATACCTGTCTCCTTCCAAATCACAGACATATTTCACAATGGGGGTCCAATCAAAGGCTCCTGGCTCCTTCTTCAGCCATCGTTGAACTTCCTCGCGGTTCTGGAGAGCGTAATCGGTGGCTATGATCTCCCGGAATGACTCGCAGGCAGAGAGGAATTGATGGATGGTTGCACCACTGCCAATGTCGATGAGGGTGTCTCCCTTGATGCCATCTGGAGCCCGTCAACCCAAACACAGTTTTTTTCAAGTTCCGCATGCTTTGGGTCCTTCACATGTGCTATGCTACATGCTGGTGCCATTTTCTCCCATCTAAACTGTCCCAGAAACACCAGAAGCCCTTCGAAGAGCATCCTGAAGGCCACCTGATCACCTGGAAACCCCTTTTCATCTTAGCGTTCCCATGAACCTATTTCCAACCCACCCATTTGTCCCTCTCTCAAGAAAAAATAAACTGAAAGAGATTGGGGAAATTTCTTCCTTGGGTTTCATTTCCTGATCAGTCTGCAGAAAGGTTCAAGTAATAGAACATAGAATTAAAGGTCTGGAAGGGATGTTTGTGAACATGTTGGCATCTGACTTTTGTAAGCTACTTCCACTTGGTGGCTGTTTTTACCCAAAGAGGACCTCTAAGTGGTACAACTGATAATCAGCAGAGTTAGGAAAATGAAAGCATGACTTTGTGATCTGCCTCTTGGCTCCTCCTGACCATCTCAGATCAACAAGCTTCCCTCACCTTGAGGTTAAAATTGGGAAAGTCAACACTTACCTATGGTAAATGCCCTGTGGGCCCCTTTCAGGAAAAAGGTTACAAACTGACCCAGTCCACCATCCTCCAACTTAACTTTGTAGTAGTTTTCCAGATGGGCTCTGGGATTAAAATTCTCAGTGTAAAAATCTTTCCCTGTGTAAGACTCTTCCATCATCCCAGAAACACTTTTACCAATTTCTGGTTGTTCCTTTCATGCTCGGATGATTATTACACTTTGGTCTTTGCTGGCTCCACCTCCTGATTTCCCTTACAGACTGGTTTCTCAACAAAGATCATCTTTGCATGTCACAGCGTGAACATGTTTTATTTTATTTTATTTTTATTTTATTTTTAAAATTTATAAGCCGCCCCACTCCCGAAGGACTCTGGGCGGCTAACAATAAAAAACACATAAAACATAACAAACAACAATACAAAAACAACCATCCAGGTGTTGCTCACGTCTTGCCAACAGATTTGAAGCCAAGTCCTGCCCTGCCCTGATCTAATGAAACAAACATATGTCCCCATCCAGGGAGGGAGCGATAACTTAGAAGTGACAGTTAGGAATGGACAAAATGGGATAACACATACCCCAAAACTGAATAGGAAGTCATGAGGCTTGGCAATAGAGGTAGAATAACCAAATATGGATCAATTGCAGAAATTGCAAATGGGCAAAGGACACGTAGACTAAAGCAAAGTATAACTTCATAAAAGGTGATAGTTTGTGAAATTTGTATTTCCCTATTTCTGGTATTCAATGGTATAAAATATGGTGCTTTGCTGTTGTTCAGAGTCTCGGCTCCGTTAGCAGCTGGGATCCTTTTGCTGAAATGCCTCAGTGAAAGTGTTGCAAAGGTCCATCACTCCTGTCTGGCTCTGATTGGCTTCCGCAGCAGGCTGACCCCTTTTGGGGACAACAGAACACAGAATCACGGTGGTGGGGTGTGTGGAAGGCACCTGGAGCCTCCCCTTATGCAATCCGATATTCTCTCTTGGAAAAGAGGCATCAGAAGACACACACACAGAGACTTCTGGTTTGGGTTGCAGTGGCTGCAGGTACACGAAGAGGCTTCTCTCTTCTTTATCTGCCTTTCCTCTTCCGGTGGACCCTTAATTGGGTTGAAAGTCACCCTGGAGGGCTGACTACTAATGAGGAGGACTCTCGCTGATTGGAGGAGGAAGAGGCAGCTCCCTCCGTGGTCCGAGGCAGCTCCTCAGGGCCGAGGGAGAAAAGATTGGCTAGTAACATGGCCGATCATTTAGCTGCTGCAGCTGAAAGTCAAAAGAACATCTAAGCATTAAGAAACCATCATGAATGATCCTGGTGAGACTTTTCCCTCTCTCTTTTTGCCTACCTACTTTCCCGTTAAAAGCCTTTTGGAATTACTTCCCTGCTTTGAAAGAGCTGCCTTTGTTTATCTGGGGAAAAGAGCTTTCCATAACAAAAGAAAAAACTTTTTATTGACTATTTTTACTTTTGGTTACTTGGGGGCCCTGGAAAAATCCTTATCATAAAACCTCATTATTATAGTGACAAAATTAGTGGATCAGAGGAATGCTGTGGACATAATTTACTTGGACTTCAGTAAGGCATTTGATAAAGTAGATCACAACCTACTACTTGATAAGATAGAAAAATGTGGGTAGACAGAATCACCACCAGATGGATCCGTAGCTGGCTGACCGGCCGTACTCAGCGAGTGGTCCTCAATGGAACTGCATCGATATGGAGGGAAGTGTGTAATGGGGTGCCCCAGGGCTCTGTTCTGGGCCCAGTACTCTTCAACATCTTCATCAACGATTTGGATGAAGGGATAGATGGAGAACTCATCAAATTTGCAGACGACACCAAGCTGGCAGGAATAGCTAACACTTCAGAAGACAGGCTTAAGATACAGAAAGATCTGGACAGACTTGAACACTGAGTACTATTTAACAAAATGAAATTCAATGGTGAAAAAAGCAAGGTTCTACATTTAGGCAAGAAAAACCAAATGCACAAGTACAGCATAGGTGGCACCATGCTCAATAGTAATAACTGTGAGAGGGACCTCGGAGTCCTAGTAGACAATCACCTAAATATGAGCCAGCAGTGTGCTGCAGCTGCCAAAAAGGCCAACACAGTGCTAGGCTGCATTAACAGAGGGATAGAATCAAGATGTGTGGGAGAATTTATAGAACATGCACATGAAGGAGAGAAAACTATTTTTTAGTGGTGAGATTTTTTTTCTGTCTCTTTCATTTCTCCGTTGGCTGTGTTGCTTTAAGAGCAAGAGAGACAGAAAGAAGAAGGGGGAGCCCCTTTTTTTGTCATAAAAAAGAAAAGCGATCGATGGCACTTCCTTCATGACCTTAGAGCTGTTAATGCCTGTATTCAACCTATGGGTCCTTTGCAGTATGGAACGCTTAACCCTAATTTGATTCCTCAAGATCATGAAGTAATGGTAATTGACTTAAAGGATTGTTTTTTTCTCCATTCCTCTATGCCCCTGATCAGAAAAAGTTTGCATTTACTGTGCCTGCAGTGAATCATTCAGAACCCAATAAACGTTATCACTGGACAGTTTTGCCACAAGGAATGCTATAAGCCCCACATTATGTCAGCTTTATGTCGCTGCAGCATTGGCTCCTTTTCGCAAACGTCATCCATTGGCTTTGGTATATCATTATATGGATGATATTTTAATTGGAGCATGAAAGATACACTCTAAATGGCATTCAGAAATACAAAATGATTTAGATCTTTATGGATTGCAAATTGCCCCAGAAAAAATACAGTTGCATTCTCCCTATCTTTATTTAGGGCATAAAATGTTGCAATCTTATTCTGCCACAGAGGACAACCTCCTCCAGTTTCATATCTCCCATTGATCTTCAAGAGAGCTTTAGACCTCTCCATTCCAACCTGGATCCTTCAAATACTTCAAATACTACCCTTCCCAAATTCTCAACAGACAATTTAACAGGAGACTATTTCAGGCTCTGAAGGCAGGCAGGTGACCATTGGACAGAACCTCTACAGATAACCTGCTAAGTTCATTCAGGAATTCTAACAATACAGAAGCAAATCCACTTGAGGACAAAAGGGCAGAGCTGCTCAGATATGCCTGGACAGCTCAACTCTGCACCAACCCATCCTTTTTCGCCTGTGGCTCCAAAGTGTTTGTCAACCAGCCACCACTTCTGGGCACGGGACCAGGTAGCCTGGCCCCAGCCTTGTTCTGCCTCTTTGCCAGCGGTGATTCCTTGTCCTAAACTGTTCCACAATTTCTCCTTCTGCAGATTGCAGCATTTTAAAAATGTGCAGCTGCCTGGCACAAGGGTACCTCTGGGCAGCCTGAATCATGCCAAAGGGCGTGGGACCTATCAAGATGGAAGAGTGGATCAGGTCACCAGCTTAAACCACACTGGCATGCAGATGTTTTGCAAATCAGCCTCCCACATCCTGGAAAGACCCCACATGAAGACAAATTCTGGCGGAGTCCCTGCCTGGGCGAAGAACCAGAGTGCAAGATCTTTTACCCAACTCTGTATGATCCAAATGTGTGTGGAAGGACATTTAGAGGTGAGACAGTAAGCAGATAGGAAGGGGGTAAGGCCAAGAGGGCTGAAGGAGGCTTCCCCCTCACTTCCCAGGGGCCAGTGGTAGCCCCATGGGTGATCTGCCTCTGCTTTGAACGGGCTCTGCACTGCCGCTCATTGGGGCAATGGAGAGAGGGGGATGTGGGGCTCTGACTTGTAGGAGAGTAGTGGCTGGAGGCACAGAGAGAGTCACCAAGTGGGAGGTAGCCAAGAAGAAGGGGGTACCATCTCAGAAAGGGTAGGGCCAAAGGCAGCACAGGAGAACATGAACAGAGGATCCACGTACATAGGAAACAGAGGAAAGGGAAGCACAAATCAACACACAAACAGAGAGGCAAGATGTTACTTTATTACACACAGAACCTACTAGGAAAGGCATAGAAAAGATCACAGAAGCCACGTGGTGTGTACTTTCTCTAACTTGTATAATAGTTTCATAACAATTGTTGGGGAAATCTCTGAGTGTTATATCAACAGTTGCCTAATATTCATGGCCTACATTTCTGGGCAAGAAGAATGCACAGCCCCTTTGCATCTGCCACAGAAGGAGGGAGGTGGATCCTGGTTTCCTCAATCCATTTAATGACAAAACCAGCCTGTCTCACTGCCTCTTCTATCATCTCCTTCTCCAAGTAGAGGGCAGAGAACTTCCGTTGGCCAACCATGTAGTAATATCCCTCAAGCGTTGAATGAAAGACAAGGTGCCCCCCTGGTTTCAGAAGGGAACTGATGTTCCTGAAGGCTGATTGGTAGGTGGGGATGTCTCTGCAAGCCCCATCGAGGCACAAGTTGGAGAGCAGACAATCTGCAGGAGGAAGAACCAGCGGAGCCAAAGGGTTGGGTTGGGTCACATCGCATTTCAGGTACTGCTTGACGGCTCTTCGGACCTTCTCTTCCTTCTCTGGCCATTTTTCCCTGGGGAGGGGGGGGTGAAAGAGAGGAAGAGTATGACCTGCCTACCTCCAAACCTTTATCAGCCTAGAGTTGCCCTTCTTTTTATGGATGGAGACAGGGCAGGCTTCCCAAGTCTGCTGTCCTTCAAGAAAAGGAAAGCCCTTCTCTCTGCAAGAATTCCTTCTTGCCTGGATTCAAATATCAGTCGGGGACCTGGAAGGTCTAGAACAGTGTTTCTCAGCTTTGGCAACTCTTAAGATGTTGGGGTTCCAGCTCCCAGAATTCCCCAGCCAACGCAAGGAACACAGGATTAGGGTTGGATCCCCATGTAGCTGTCATCATGGTCATCAATCTTTGTCTTGCCACCACAGGCCTCACAGATGCAGAGGGTGCTATACATTATTTCAATAAATTAATAAAGAGTCATGTGTGACCATGTCATCATAAATATACCATTATTTCTGTCCCTGGATAAAAGGTCGGGATGCAAAAAGATAATGGCAGTCTTTATGTGAGGATGTCTCCTCTCTGGCCTCATAGGGTTGCTATGTAAATGGTCAATTTGTATGTTCAGTTAATTAGTTAATTCACTCCTGAGCAGCACATGGATTCCCACTGCCTTTCTGGCAGGAGAAGAACCGCTCAGGCCCAAAGACGACATGGACCATTGAGCAGGAAATGACCCTGCAGGTCTTCTGAAGCACTTCAGAAGAATTGAAACAGAGACTGAGCTTGGAACAACTGGATCTCCATTTCTCATTTGCTCAGGAGAGATAATGGACTTTGTTTTGCTAGCACAATGGGCACATCTAAATCAGCAGTGGCTAGCAAAGCTATCTGAGAGAGAGAGTCTACTTGGGTTCTTCAATGTGGACTCTTTGGATCTGCACAATTGTTCTCCTGTTAAGTTCCTGATACAAAATCTCTCCTGTTACATTTTCATAGATGGACAGATTAGGTAAAGTTGGAAGAAAAGTTCCTGATTGTTTTCTTTGGCTAAGGCTAAATTAATCCGCATCTTAAAGTCTTTCAAACAAAAAGATATATTCTCCTTCTACCTACCTGTCTCCCTCCAACTCACAGACATATTTGACAATGGGCGTCCAGTCGAAAGCCCCAGGTTCCTTCTTCAGCCATCGCTGCACTTCCTCTCGGTTCTGGTCGGTGTAATCGGTAGCTATGATCTCCTGGAAGGACTGACAGGCAGAGAGGAACTGGTGGATGGTTGGGCCGGTGCCAATGTCGATCAGGGTATCTCCCTTGATGCCATCTGCAGCCCATCAAACCAAATGCAGAGTTTTTGAAGCTCAGTCTGCTTTGGGTCCTTCACATCTGCTATTCTTCACACTCTTGCCTATTTTGCCCATCTAAACTGCCTCAGAAGCACCAGAAGCCCCTCAAAGAGCATCCTGGAGACCACCTTACCATTTGGCAACCCCTTGTCTTCATAGCATTCCCATGAACCTATTTCCAACCCAGCTGTTTGTTCATTTCACAAGAAGAAGTACACACATGTGAAAACTTTAGTCCACAAGACAATTGCTTGGGTTTCATTTCCATATCTGTCAGTAAACTGTTTCAAGTTCTCCCCTCTAGACACCGCTATACGTCATCACATGCCAAAACAATTAGACATTTAGTTTTTTCTCCATGCCATCATTCAGCTGAACACTTAATTTCCACAGCACTGTTGTAGGCCTAAAGATAGTTGCCCATTTATTAGGCTGTATTATCTTTCTCATCTTTCTCATTTTCTCATCTTTCTCATTTTCCTAATACCTTCTCCTATTGGTATCTATGATTTATCACCTGATATTTTATCTTATAATTAATGATTGTAACTATGATCTATGACCTATTACCTTGTTGTTTATATGTACACTGAGAGCTATGCACTGGAGACAAATTCCTTGTGTGTCCAATCACATTTGGCCAATAAAGAATTTCTTCTCTTCTCTTCTCTTCTCTTCTCTTCTCTTCTCTTCTCTTCTCTTCTCTTCTCTCTTCTACTCTACTCTACTCTACTCTACTCTACTCTACTCAAGGTCAAATAATGTTTGTGACCATTCTGGCATCTGCCTTTTGTAAGCTACTTTCACTTTGTGACTGTTTGTACCCTGAAGAGAACACCTAAGTCAGTGGTGGTGAATCTATGGCACAGGTGCCAGAGGCAGCACTCAGAGCCCTCTCTGTGGGCACACGCGCTGTCGCCCAGTCCTAGGCCTTCAGCTGGGTTTTATAAAACCATTTTGCTTTAGGCTTCCGCCGCCATGTGCAAAAAAAGAAAAAGTTTCAATCAATCAGTCAATTTCAACTTTGTAAGGACCCACCCCACTTTGCATCTTAAGAAGACAGAACTCTTGGAATCTTTCTTCCAACAGACATCCTTTATTAAGAGAAAATGGTTGCAGGCATTCTAGACAGGACCTGGGGCCCAAGCCCGATGGTTCAAGGTTTTAAGGGGTCCCCAGCAGCCCCACCCCACCCCACCCCACCATCCTTCCAGTGACAATCTCAGGTGTTACATTTCCACCCCCTTTTCCCTCACTGCTGGTGGAATCAATGAGCTTGCGTTGTGCCCTTGGTTCCTCATGACTATCTCAGATCAAGAAACGACCCTCACCTTGAGATTAAAATTGAGAAAGTCAACACTTACCTACGGTGAATGCCCTGTGGGCCCCTTTCAGGAAAAAGTTTACAAGCTGATCATCAACATCAAGGTTAACTTTATAATACGTTTCCAGATAATCTTTGGGACGAAAATTCTCAGCATAGAAATCTCCCTCTGTGAAAGGCTCCTCCATCACCCCACAAACTCTTTTCCCAACTGTGGGTTGCTCCCTTCAAGCCCTGAGCTTTATAATATTTTTATCTTTGTTGGCTCTGCCCCCAGATTTCTCTTACGGATCAGATTCTCAACAAAGCAGACTTTTGTATGCTACAGCGTGATCATCTTGCTCACCTCCTGACAAGAGATTTGATGCCAGGACCTGACCTGACCTGTCCTCCCCGTCTTATGCAATCAGATGTTCTCCCTTGGAAAGACCCCCTTTCTCTCTGGGCAAAAGGGAAGCAAGGGGGAAGTGGGGGAGGGTCCTCTTCCCGGAGGGCAGGAGAAGAGGCATGACAGAGAAGAGGGTTTCACGGCCAGATGTTCAAAGAGCCAGGCTCCACCTCCCCTCTCTGACCACCCTAAAGAGGAGAATGTCTTGTTTGCTCCTCTGTGAGACCGAGGATCAGGTGGAAGGAAGCTTTTTTGCTCCAGAAAGGTTTTGTGGTTTCCTTTTTTTCATAAGTCCTGCACTGGAGAGCAGCATTCTAATTCTGCCAGACAGTCCAGCCTTCCAATTTTTGGATTCCTGTCCGGCCATCTTCCTTTCTCTCCTTTGCAGAAAGTGATGGAGAGAGGCACACATGCACAAACATACACACACAGAGAGAGAGGGAGAGAGAGAGAGAGAGTAAGAGAAGAAGAAGGGAGTGCCATCTCAGAAAGGGTAGGGCCGAAGGCAGCACAGGGCAATGCAGGCTCAGAGAATCCACGTACTGGTACATAGAAAACAGAGAGACACAACATAAGGGAAACACACACCAACATGCAAACACAGAGGCAAGATGTTACTTTATTATGAGTTGTTGGGGAAATCTCTGGGTGTTACATCAATAGCTGCCTAATATTCACAGGCTACATTTCTGGGCAAAAAGAATACACAGCCCCTTCGCATCTGATAGAGAAGGGGGGAAATGGATCCTGGTCTCCTCAATCCATTTAATGACAAAGCCAGCCTGTCTCACTGCCTCTTCTATCATCTCCTTCTCCAAGTAGCGGGCAGAGAACTTCCGTTGGCCAACCATGTAGTAATATCCCTCAAGCGTTGAATGAAAGACAAGGTGCCCCCCTGGTTTCAGAAGGGAACTGATGTTCCTGAAGGCTGATTGGTAGGTGGGGATGTCTCTGCAAGCCCCATCGAAGCACAAGTTGGAGAGCAGACAATCTGCAGGAGGAAGAACCAGCGGAGCCAAAGGGTTGGGTTGGGTCACCTCGCATTTCAGGTACTGCTTGATGGCTCTTCGGACCTTCTCTTCCTTCTCTGGCCATTTTTCTCTGGGCAGGGGAGGAAGAGAGGAAGAGTATGACCTGCCTACCTCCAAACCTTTATCAGCCTAGAGTTGTCCTTCTTTTTATGGAGTCTGCTGTCCTTCAAGAAAAGGAAAGCCCTTCTCTCTGCAAGAATTCCTTCTTGCCTGGATTCAAATATCAGTCAGGGACCTGGAAGGTCCCAGCTCCCAGAACTTTCCCAGTCAACAATAGTAACATTGGTCCAGGAGCCTCTCCCCAGGTAGCTGCCACGGCTCTAGTGCCAATATATTTGTCTTGGCATCACAGATGGGGAGGAGCTATAAATAATTTCAATAAAATAATAATGAATGATTTTGGTTATATCATAGCTTAAGTCTCTGGGTCAAAGGTCAGGGTGGAAATAGATAATGGCAACCTCTGTGTCATGAAGTCTTCTCTCTGGCATTATAGGGCTGCTGTGGAAATGGTCAGTTTATACGTGCAGTTAATTAAGAGTTAATTCAGTTAATTCCTGAGCAAAAGTTGAATTCTCACTGCTTTCTACAGTTGGAACCGGCAGGAGAAGAACCACACTTTTTATTTTCAATTTAATGGGTGAGTCTACCGGGCAATGAAAAATAAAAAATTGAAAAATGGGGGAGAACATCAAGGCGTGGAAGGCTGAATAGGCTGCTACTCATCTTTCTGAGTCCGATGCAAGAAGAAACAGAGATGGAAGCCAATGGAGGGCTTTGGCTAGAGAGACCCTACTTAGATAGAGGTCCCACCAGGAGAGAGCACCAGGGAAATGGAGTCCCAAAGAAGACATGGACCACTGAGGAGGAGATGACCCTGCAGGTCCTTCTGAAGCACTGCAGAAGAATTAAGACAGAGACCAAGTCTGGAACAACTGGTTCTCCACTTCCCATCTGCTCAGAAGAAAATGTGCACTTATTGTCACTTTTCTTTACCAGCAGAATGGACACAAAAGCTACTGAGGCACTAGCAAGTCATGCTTTCTGAAAGAGAGTCCACTTTGGTTCTTCAATGCGGACCTTTCTGGTCTGCACAATTATTCTCCTGTTGAGCTCCTGATTGCAAAATCTCTGATGCTGTATTTTTATATATGCACAGATTAGGTAAAGTTGGAAGAAGTGTCCCTGATTGCCTTCTTTGGCTGAGGCTAAATTAATCTTATAATCTTAAAAACTCTCAAAGCAAAAGCTATGTTCTTCCTCTACCTACTTGTCCCCCTCCAACTCACAGATGTATTTCACGACAGGCATCCAGTCGAAAGCCCCAGGTTCCTTCTTCAGCCATCGCTGCACTTCCTCTCGGTTCTGGTCGGTGTAATCGGTAGCTATGATCTCCTGGAAGGACTCGCAGGCAGAGAGGAACTGGTGGATGGTTGGGCCGGTGCCAATGTCAATCAGGGTATCTCCCTTGATGCCATCTGCAGCCCATCAAACCAAATGCAGAGTTTTTGAAGCTCAGTCCGCTTTGGGTCCTTCACATGTGCTATGCTACATGCTGGTGCCAATTTCCCCCATCTAAACTGCCTCAGAAGCACCAGAAGCTCTTCAAAGAGCATCCCGGAGGCCACCTGATCCCCTGGCAACCCCTTCTCCTCTTAGAATCCCCATGAACCTATTTCCAACCCACCTGTTCTCCCCTATCTCATGAAGAAGTAAACACTTGTGAACGAAATTGGGGAAACATTTGCCCACAAGCCAATAGCTTGTGTTTCATTTCTACATTAGTCTGCAGAAAAAGTCAAGTAATGTTTGTCAACATTTTGGCATCTGCCTTTTGTAAGAGGCTTCCAGTTTGTGGCTGTTATCCTGAAGAGGACATCTAAGTGGTGCAGGTTACGATCAGCAGAATTATGAAGATGAAGGGATAACTTTGAGATCTGCCTCTCGGCTCCTCCAGACCATCTCAGATCAACGTCCCTACTTTGAGGTTAGAATTGGGGAAGTCAGCACTTACCTTGGGTGAATGTCCTGTGGGCCCCTTTCAGGAAAAGGTTAGATGCTTATTCACTCCATCATCATCTAAGTTAAATTTATAACAGGTTTGCAGATAGTCTTTGGAAACAAAATGCTCAGAGTAGAAATCTTTGTGTGTGAAAGGCTCCTCCATCACCCCACAAACTCTTACCAAAAGCTGGTTGAATCTTTCAAACTCTGAGCATTTTTATATTTTTATGTTTGTTAGCGCCACCCCCTAATTTCTTTTATTGATTGGTTTCTCAACAAATCACACTGTTCTATTTTGCAACGTGATCATCTTGCCCACCTCCTGCCAAGAGATTTGAAGCCAGGACCTGACCTGTCCTCTCCATCTTATGCAATCAGTTGTTCTCTCTTGGAAAGGAGGCAGCAGGAGACCCCCTTCCTCTCTGCACAAAAGGGCAGGAAGGGAGAAAGGAGGGGGAGGGCAGGAGAAGCAGGAGAGGCATGGTAGAGAATTGTCCCCTCCAGGCCAGTTGTCAGGTTCCACCTCCCCTCTCCACACACCCTCCATCTGGGGCAGAGAACATCTATTTTGCTCCTCTGTGAGTCAGAGGAGGGCATGGAAGGGGGCTTGGTGGGGCTCCTATAATTTTTCTCTTCTATAATTTTTTTGTCATTTGCTTTTCCTGCTAACTCCTTCCCTGGCACAGTTGCACTTATAATTATGCCATACAGTTGGCTTCTCCAGTCACTTCCCTTTTTCTCCATTGCAGAGAGTGACACAGAGACATACACAAACACCACTTTTCTTTTATTCTCCTCCCCCCCCCCCCTTTTAAGCTATTTCTCTTGCCAGGGATCCCTTTTCATTTGGGCTTCAGTTTTGATCCAGAGTCCACCTCACCTTTGAGACAACCTCTCTTCCCTTTCTTTGCTGAATCCCAGCTCTGTTTCTTACATGTCCAGCTCCCCTGCTAGCTTTCGCCCTAATCTATTCATCTCTTACTTCCTGCTTATTGGCTCCAAGTCTTGCAGTCAGGACTTAAAATCGGATATTATCTGATCTGACCCAAGATCCTTGGAGATGCCCTCTAAAACTAACATGTTTTGCCTGCTGGGCTGCCCCGATCCTTAGGGCTGCGGGGGCTGTTCTTCTAAACTGGCCAGCAGGATGAATTCTGAGGCAGAATCTTTCCCTGGAAAATCTGAAGAATGTACTCTGTTCTCCGAAAGGTTTTGGATGACAGAGCCTTGGAATGTCCTCAAGATGATGGAAGTCCAGCAGAAATGGGGCTTCTTCTCCTGCATCTGGAAAGCAGAATTACTCCATTCATGTCTCCTATCTCATTAGACACAGAAGAGTTTAAGGCCTCTTCTTCCCTACCTGGGGTCCTTCCTATGAGGCCACCCTTCCCCCATTTTGCAGAAGACTACTTCAGGCTCTGAAGGCATGCAGGTGACCTTTGGACGTGCCTTCAGGACCTCTACAGATGGCCTGCTAATTTTATTCAGGACACAGAAGCAAATCTTTGCTTGAGCTTCAACCCACATTTTTTCCCATTTGCAAAGTAAGACAAAAGAACAATTCAGCCTGTAACTGGCCTTCCATCCCTGGTAGACTTCAGGGAACCTTTTCCCTTCCATCTCCAGCTTCACTTTTGTCTCATTTTAAACTCTCTACTCGTGCTGAATTGCTTCTTTGAGGAATTGCTTCCAGTTCTGGGATTCCTACTGATGTAACGAATCCTGGCTGGTCCAGGATGATAACAAGCATTCTTTGGACTTGTCCAAAAAAACCCAGCTTTCCCTGGGAGTTATTTCTGAACCCACTTTTTTATGGTTTCTACAAAGAGCCGTGTCTCTTGGCACCTGAAAATCCCTAGACAAGCCCTCCAATCTCAGGAAATGAAGGGGTGACTTTGGGTTAGAGGCAACCTTTCTGAATAGAGGCAGAATGTAGACAGAAAACCTTTCTTTAATCAGCCCTTAAATAACTTTGACAAGACAGAATGGAAATCCATTTATTTTTGCTCCATTTTCAGAAGGCAAAATGAGGACAGGTTCACATTCATAAATCATTCTGTTATAGCTAGAATTCACATAGACTCTTTATGGGACTCAGGTAAGCAGAGACAAATGGGAATTTAAAATTATGCAGCCAGAAATCTCAGCCAAACTCATTTCCACCCTGCTCTGGTGCTACCTGTATCTTTCTTAGTCATGGCTCTCTCTGTGTGACTGTCTTTGTGTTATATTTGTGTGCCTGCACATTGGTGCAATAGCATTTTAAATTGAGTCCCAATTTTGTGACTTTACAGATATATTGCAATGTAGTCTTCATTATTTATAGGAAACTGGCAGAAGAATTATGGAAATTGTAGTATAACATCTGGGAAATTCCTGACAGGGACAGCTGCAGTTCTGAGACCAAATATGGAGTCCTTGGTACTTTCTGTGCTTGCTTGCTTGCTTACAGACATTTCTTTACCCAACTAGGTAACATCATCAATGTTAAAAGGGGCTAGAATTTGCACTTCTAGCACTGATGATGTTATACCTAGTTTGGGTAATGAAATGTCTGCAAGAAAACCACTAAGCTCAGAGAGCACCAAGGACCCCATTTCAACTCTGAGTTACAAATATTCCCTTCTATTGGTTCAAATTATATATTTGTGCTTTTCTCGGTACAGCACAACTGATTTGGAACAGCTTTCAAGCACCAAAGAATGGAGGCCTTTGAACTATGGTGCTGAAGAAGACTCCTGCGAGTCCCCTGGACTGCAAGGTGATCAAACCGGTCAATCCTAGAGGAGATCAACCCTGACTGCTCTTTAGAAGGCCAGATCCTGAAGCTGAAACTCAACTACTTTGGCCACCTAATGAGAAGGAAGGATTCATTGGAGAAGAGTCTAATGCTAGGAAAGATTGAGGGCAATAGAAGAATGGGACAACAGAGAATGAGGTGGCTGGATGGAGTCACTGAAGTACTAGACGTGAGCTTAAATGGACTCCAGAAGATGGTAGAGGACAGGAAGGCCTGGAGGAATGTTGTCCATGGGGTTGTGATAGGTCGGACACGACTTCGCAACTAACCACCAGACAACTGTAAACCTCAATAGCTTCAAGTTGCTACTTCACCTCAGATACTGCTCTTCTGAGCTAGGAGTATGCATAACCCCCTAGAATCAGTCATTGAGGAGTGCAATTTGAACCTGATCTCTTCAGCCCAGCTAATAACAAAGCCAGCCTCTCTCACTGCCTCTTCCACCACCTCCCTCTACAGGTAGAGGTTGGAGAAGGTATGCTGCTGACGATGTAGAAGTTTTCTTCGAGGACAGTGGATAAAATGAAATGCCCTCCTGGTTTGACCAGTGAGTTGATGTGTTTCAGAGCAGATCGGTAGGTGCAGAGGTCTTTGCAAGCCATTTCCAAGCACAGAGAAGACATCAAACAATCTGCAGGAGGATGAACCATTGGAGCCAAAAGCTTTGATTTGCTCACGTCACACTTTAAGACTTGTTTGATGGCTCTCTGGACTTTTGCTTCCTTCTCTGGCCATTTTTCCCTGTGGGAAGACACAACGTGAGGCCAACAGCCCTTCTCCCCAAATCTTCATTGGGAGAATGGGTATGAAAATGAATAACATGTATAGGCTGAAAATCGTGTTTCGCAACTGAAGTAGACAAACACACTCAGTGTCCACTTCAAAAATGTAAAAAGGAGGGTTGTATCTATTTCGTAAAGAGACAATTTTTAGTCCGATAGTGTTGTTGAATTTTTTTGTGTGACATGAAAGATCATTGCCACAAATCATGCTTCAGTGGTGAGGTTTCTAAGTGCGCCTACATCTCAAGCACTTTAGCAAAACACAACCCTGCCCAAAACAGGCCAGCAAGTTAGCCATATTAGGGGAACCTAGTCAAGGAAATTGTGCATCTTGAAAAAATGTGTTTGGGTTGATATGATCCAGATGGCATCCAGGGAGACACCCTGATCGACATTGGCACATCCATCTATCACTTCCTCTCCACCTGCGAGTCCTTCCGGGAGATCATAGCCATCGATTACACTGACCAGAACCGGGAGGAGGTGCAGCAATGGCTGAAGAAGGAACCGGGGGCTTTTGACTGGATCCCCATCATGAAATAGGTCTGTGAGTTGGAGGGAGACAGGTATGGAGAAAGAAGCCACATTGGCCATGTAGCTACCCTTCATTTAACAACTTCTTGTTGTTAAACAACTTCTCCGTGGTTTATGTCCACAAAGAAGATATACTAGATTTAAGAAAGATGCAGCTTTCCTGGTGTGTATGTTTTTTTTTTTGTCTAAAATAAATAAAAGAAAATAATAAAATAAAATAATAACATAATAAAATAAAATAAAATAATAAAATAAAATAAAGTCCCCTTGGGAGAATCTTTGCCCTTCCAAAACACCTAGCAATTTGGCAATCTGCAAACACTTTTATGAGCAACAGCCAGTCAGATGCAGAGGCTCCAAGAATGTTTCAGGAATGCAGTCCTTCTACAACATGCCCCACAAGAGCCCTTATCTATGGTGACCTATGGCTTAGCATGTGACCTCCACCAACTGCTTTGTTAATTTGTAACTCTGATGTGCAAGCTCATAAAATGAGATACTTAGGTGTAAAGGTGGAGGTGCTGGATTAGAAACTTGGTATCCAACCACGTATCAGTATACACTGCAATAGATGTTTTGTTGGTGGTATTTTCAGAGGAAAGGCCAAGATGTTCTTCTTCTGCTGAGCTGCCTGAAATTCAGGCATTATCCAGTCTGGGTCCTCCTCCAAGGCAGGGATGAATTTTCCTGGGGGCCGCCCTCTTCTCGGTTCCCCCTCAAATCTTGACAGACGTGGCCAGGGGACATGGGGTCCTCCAGGGCCTCCCCTTCAGCTGAGAAACATCTGGCTTGTGTTTGTCAAATGCAAATCATATCATGACCACACAGAACAACAAAGTAGAAATTGTGACATAAAAACACAAGAGGATTGAAGGACGTCTTCCTTTACCCAAATGTAGAAGTTCCATTTTAATCACGTGTATGGTGTAAATGCAGCCTGAGAGAAACTTTGGCTAATCTTGGTGCCCAAATTTTTTAAGCTCACTGAAAAATCAACACTTACCATTGACAGATAAATAAATAAATTTGGCCCATTCATGAAAACTGTTATGTCCTGGGCCTGTGATTGACAGAGCAGGTGCAGGAAGCTGGAGAGAGACCCGGGCAGACCACATGGCTGCCTGGGCCAGACAGGCTGTCTCCAGCCTATTGTGCATGTGCAAGGCGGGAGAAATATGTTGCATTGATTGGCTGACACTGTCCCTGCAAAAGGGTATAAAAGGAATCCATGCCATTTTGTTTTGGTTCT